GCATATACCAATAAGCCATTTTGTGGGTAAGAGGTAATCATTATATGCTCAAAAGAGTTAAATGTTCTAGAATTAGCTTCATGCGGTATGATAAAATTGGTCATCAATTTGAACCATTCATAAACCCAATGAATAACTAAGAGCTGCAAAAAAAAATCTACAGCCAGAAGATTCTTCCTAAAAGCCATTACCCACCCTCTTCAGATTTTGAAAGCTACAAGTATTAATGAAATAAGCTCTGTTGCTGTAATCAATCAAACATCACTATGATGATGCTAAGATTTTTGCTAAGGTGACTCCACAATCACGTGTCTGTCTAGTTGTGCAAGGCAGGGAGAAAATACTAACTCCAGAACCAAGTCACCAACTGAAGCAATTAATAACTATGCAACTTAATTGCCTTTTGAATTACTTTTACAGTTACTTTTGAACTACTGGGTAGACAAATAGGTCCTATAATCCCAACATAAAAATAAACATGAAAGTGGCTTCAATATCAAGCTTAAATAGATTAAAACTCGTATATCTGGCTAGCTTCAACTGGATGTGAAGGTACATGGCTCTAAACATCTACAAAGAGATGAAAAAGCTTAAGGGGAGAAAAGGAAAGAGAGCAAAGACACTCCTTGCAGCCTTTACAAAGCAAAAGCTTAAAGGTTGAATCATAACTACTTTATAACTGGTGCGAAATGTAGAACATTCAAGAATAAAAGATCAGAAGACACAATAAAGAGAGAAAGACTTACGTATCCAGTGGACATAGTGTGGTTCAGTGAAGTACCGATAAACCCAATTAAGAATGTATAATCCTCGATATGCACTGCAATATAAGAGAAATATAAGCAATTCTGTCCATCACACTAATCCTACACACCTGATCTGCTTTACAGAAGGAAAACTTGGTATTTTACATCTAGGAAGACCATCATCAAGTAAATATTTTAAACAAATATCTCATTTTTTAATTCAAAAGTAATATTATGGTTGCATATAATACTTCCAGGGCATTTTGAAATCATATGCAGAGTGCAGATAACAGACTAAATTTTATATTATTAGTTTGCAAAAGTATTTTTATCTAGCTATAACAGCCTAAAATATAAGGTTTATATTTTGGAGTCATATTCCTATTATTCTTTTCCCTTTGGTCCTACCACAAAACGGAAATCTAAACATTAAGAAGAGCAACATTATCATATTATCGTTTGAAGCTTCAAACATACTTCACAAGGTTGGGAAATTTCGAACTCAAAAATAACAAACTTCATCAAGTCCTAAACAATTGCATCTCAAATGTACACAGAGGAAAGCCCAAAGTTTTGATACGGACTGTGAACTGAAAGTCTCTGGTTCAAACTACAGATTGTTAACTGAAAAGTGATTAGGTTTAATAAGTCATTAAAAGTTAAAGCATAAGGCATAATCAATTCAAACAACAAAATGAGGTAAACAAAGCAAAAGATCTAAGATATAGTCAACAAATTAAATATAAATTAGTTTTAAGAACATTGGATTAAGCATACCCTAGAAGAAACACATATTGCCCAGTCAATTGTCAATGTTTCTAGTCCTTTGCAGGAGTACAAGCTGAGGAAGTATGGCAACAGCTTCTAGATACAACGAAGGTCCACATTACCTGGAAACCCATTTTCCAGAAGTCAAATAATAACAGAAGCATTTTTTTATGAAAAAAGTACAAATAAATAAGTAGAGACCTCTTTGAAGGTGAATTTCTCATGAACGAGAAGGGCCAAGAGCAAGCAAGCAACAGCAAAATAATGGCGGAAAGTGTCTTGGGATTTATCGTAAGACCTTCGAACAACGCTGTGGACGGATGTACCAAACAATCGAAAAGGAGCTTCCCAAAATATCAGCTTCATCAGAGTGTTTGTAAGAGAGATAAAATCAGTTAAAATGTCCAAGTAACGGCTAGCGAAAACGATGGCGTAAAGTTCTTGCGTCTTCAAAGAGATACCTGATCCAGTTCAGAAGACAAAATTAAAACCCGAACCTAAGAATTCATATGAGGAAAAAGAGAAATGGTTACCGGCGCAGATTTGATGGTGTGGATCTTGAAAGCAAGACGAACGCTGGCCAGGTGAGTCATATCACCTGCTAATCTGAATAAATTTCATTTTCGCTGCTTCAGATCCAAAACCCTAAATTACTTTGAACTCGTGAATCAAAAAGAACACGCAAATGTTTTCAACGGCCTCTTTTTCAGAGTGGTTTGTGCTTTAGATCTTGTAGTTTCCAGGTTTGGCCTTTTTATGTTGTTTTTCAGTTTTATTTAAAAATATAATATTATTAAAATTATATTATATGTATATTAAATATTTTAATACTTATTATTTTTATTAAAATGTTATTAAAATATTAATCTAATATTAAATATATAAAATAATATTTTTTGAGTGTTAATACTCTGAAGTTAAAAGTTAAAAAAATAATTTACAGAAAATTAAATAATAAAACAATTTACAGAAAAATACAAAGGAACTAGAAAAATGAATTACATTGAAAAATCAATTACAGCAATCAAACACTGAAAAATATTTTTCATAAAACTAATTACATCTATCAAACACCGAAAAATATTTTTCGAAAAGGAATTTTCAGCTATCAAACACAGAAAAATGAGAAAAATATTTTCTGTCAAACATTTTCAACTATTAACCCTAAAATATGTCGATTTGAATACCATATATCATATCCAAACTAACATTAAATTAAATCTATATTGAATCTATCGACTTTAAGATCAAGTCAATCTTTGAATTTTTATGTCGATCTTTGAGTTTTTATGTCAAAGTTTCATATGATATCACTTCAAAGTACGTATAGATTTATTGTTGTGAATGTTTAAATTCATTGACCTTAAATCATATTTCAGCTAGCTCTATTTTGTAAAACTTATTATTATTACTCGAATTATATAATTTGAGTTTCATATTTTATAAATTTGACTTATATTTATTTTGAATATGATGATTATGTCTTTCTGATTTAAGTGAATAATATAAAAAAAATAATCATTTTAGTGATTTCATATGACACTCAAATCATTATGATTATTAAGCTCTTTTTTATATATATATATTGTTCTGTTTACTTTTAATGAATTATTGGATTTATTATTGAGTAAGCATTTCCAAAAAAATGACAGCCTTCCATTATCATATTTCTCTTGGGCTATGTTTTTTTGACGGGGCTTTGATCAATTGCAGTTTTTTTTCTTTCTTCTATTAAGGTATTCGAATTTTTTATTTAACTTATTAGGGTATTTGAATTTTTATTTTGGATAATATCATAAATGTTACAGTAGAATTAAAATTTGCTATATTTAGGTAACGAGTTTCAATAAAAAAATATTATTTTATTTAAACTCCTCAATTCGAGATAACGAGTTATAATAAAATATAACCTTTTATTAAAATTGATCACATCAAAGTAAAAAATTTAAATAAAAATATTTTTTTATTTAAACTCATTACTTTAACACGATTCATGTACAATAAAAAAAATCATAAATCCCAAAATAAAAAACGTTGGTGAAAACCTCAATTGTAGAGCATATACTTTGGGGGCTTTGAACAAATGTTGGACTTTCTTTTGTCTGATATTTCGGGGGGTTTTTTTTTTACTTTTGTGTCCCCTGTCTTCCTTTGATAAGATTGTTATCATTTGTCACACGTATTAACTCCATTAAATTATACAATAATAATCTCATACACTATTTTAGGTTAAAAGGATATATTATGAAAATTTGTCAAAAAATAACATGAATTAAAATAAAATTTAAAAAATATTAAACTGCATAATTATTTATTATATTATTTTTGATAAATTTTCTATTAATATTATTTTTTATATTTTAATCATCGATTATTATTTTTAGCGGGAGAGCGTTCGATTGAGTCGAGTAAAAAATTTCGAGTTATCCAAGTTGAAGAGTCATATTTTACAACTCGAACTTAATTTGAAATTTTTTCGAGCCGAGTTGTATTGAGTCGATTTTTTTAGTTTCTGTTTAAATTTAATTGTAAATATTTATAATATTAAAATATTATTTGATTCCAATTTAAGTAATTTTCTATAACCATATATATAATATAAATATATTTCTTCATATTTTTTTTATACATGATATATATATATATAATACAAAGTCTAAGGACTCAACTAAAATTGAAAATAAATAAACTAATTACTAAAAAAAATTAAGTTATTCGAGTTGCATTTTACAACTCGATTTGAACTTGAAATTTTTTCGAATCGAGTTTATAAAATTTCAACTCGAGGTCAATTTGAGTTGAATCAAGTTGAAAAATTCAGTTTTTTTTAGTCGAATCGAGTTTTGCTCACCCTTATTTAGTGATGATGATAATATGGTATTATTTTTTGTTCTTTTTATTTTTGTTTAACTAATAAAATGATAACGTGTGTCATCAATTTATTAAACAAATAAAATCAAAGGAAGATAATGTTGGTGCCTTGGTGGTGGAAAGAGGTTTTGAATGCTTGACATCTTACAAAAAGATTAAGTGCATACAATTAGATTAAGTTAAATTTCTGTCGAAATTATATTTATTATTTTATTATCATAAAATTCAATGCCGACAAACAGACATCCCTGTCGCTAGATCCAAATGCTACAGGCTAAATTGCGGTTGCGATGGCTATTGCTGGTAAGGTGTCGTGGTTGCGGAGGGCATAATTTGTTTCCTAAAAATAACTATGATTTTAAATTGCGGAGGCGGTGTCGTTGTGACTTTGAAAAATGTTACGATGCGGCCGTAACTCTACGTTGCAGCTGCAGTTTAGTACTATCTATAAATCCCTTGCATTATTCTATATGTGGTGTTTGTTGGGGTCAACGTTATTGGAATTTACATCCAATGTTGTAATTTTAGTTTTCCTTTCCATGTTTTAATTATGAGGGGAAGTGTTTACTGTTTGCTGTTGTTTATCTGGATAATATTCCATTACTTTTTCTCCTCCTTATTTCCATGTAGTTTTATGGATTCTGTTGGTGATTTAGTGATTATTTGTTGAAGCCCTTTTTGGGATTTTGCATAATGTGGTCAAATGTAGCTCGGATTTCACTTTCTGGAAAGCATCAAGTGATTCATTGTCTAGTCCATCTGCATTCGCTCTTTGTTTGGTCTGAATACTATATTTTCTGTGTCTATTATTTGATTCGTGGCAGGGAGCCTTGGAATTGGCATGGCGAGAATTATGGTACTCAAAAGAACTACAGTTTTGGTTAGTTATTAGCTCAGATGATGACTTATTTTAAGCCAATATGTTTGAAGTTGCCTATGTGTAAAATGATTTAAGAAATGTGATTAGTGATGTCTGAACAACATCTGAGCAGATGCCTCCCGAGTTGCATGCGCTCGAGTGACCTTGAATGAAGAAGACCTTTCCTATATGTTTGATGAAGCAACCCCTGTTAAGGAATGTGGGAATCTGTCACATTATGTTAATGGTAAACGTTGATGCTTGATAATGTATTATTTGAAACTTTCTTGTTTTCTTAATAGTTGCTCTTTTCTTTCCTTTAAAGTAATTAGACCGCGATTTCAGATAATATGAGCAAGGAACCAGAGGATAAGAGAGAGGCCCCTTCAAAAGCTAAAAGGCGAAGAATGCTTCAATTTGAGACTCATGTAATAGATTCTTCCCTTGTCTGTGAAGAGATGCCATCTGCATTACTAAAATCAAGGGTGAGCGCTAGATAACATTTTTGTTGCTGAGAAGTAAAAGCATGTCATTACATCATATGCTTCAACCTGCTATCTTTGATTTATGATCTAAAAAATTGACTTGGACTGTACGCTAGATGTGGAATGTGATGTTAGAAAACATCGGTCTATCATCAGTTGTTTTATATTACAGGGAAGGAAAAATCTTTCATGTATATCATTTTGTGTATCCATCTACATCCTGTTTGCACCATACAACGTTGTATAGCTATTAATCTATTGGGTGGAGCTTGCTTTCCTTTTTCTTAATGTAATTCATTCATTATATATAAAAAGTTCTGGAGTTCTGCATCTTTTGGCGACCTCTTAAAAATATACATCTAGCATCTATGGCTAATTACTATTACTATCCCATTATATGCAATACTGGTTTAAGTTTACCTTGTGTATCCGTTTCTTTTACTTATTTGTTGTTTCTTTCCGTGCTTAGGAGAGGGATGATTCAACTGAAGAGGTTTTACCTGATTCATCTCAGTGGATTGCTGGATTTTTCAGGTTTCCCTTGCAAGTCCATTTCTTACAAAAAATAATCAAATGCATGCTTGGATTTTTAACCATGACAAAATATTTCAGAGGATGCATCAGCTTCCGGTTATGAGGGTCTTGATCAGTCGTGTGAAGGGTGGCTTGCTGAATATTTTATTGATGCAGAGATGCTTCTTTGCTCTGATGATATGTATGCTCGGATGTACTTCCAACCTTTTCTTTTTTTGTTTGATCATGATATTACTTATTAGTATATTCTGATTTCTTTATAATGTGAGATTCAGGAATCTTAGTGGTACGTCTGATGTTCAAATTGATATTTCAGGTACACGAATCCTTTTCTTCTGAATAAATTCTTCGTCATTGTCATTTAGCTTAACCATATGATGAAACTTTATTCTCTGTTCATAGAGTTGTGCAATGTCCGACCCGAGTCTCAGGTTGATGCTGTTCAAAAGCAAGCAATTCGAACTCCTCGAAATGTTGTTTTACAAAGGTAATATAGTGTCATTTTCCTTCTATCTCAAATATCATCACATAAGACTAACACATGAGATTGGATTTTGCTCATTTAGGTAGGAAGTCTTTCATACACGCAACCCCTAAGATAGTGTCTTCCGTAGCCTACCCATTTGCTTTCATTAAACCCTGTGGTTTCCATGGAGATGTTACCCTGAAGGATATAAACCAGCGAATCCGAACTCCACCACCATCAAAATTGGAACAAAACAATGAAGATCTTGCTGCTGCTTTCCCCGCTTCTGCTTTTTCCGGGAAGCCTGTTGTCGGCAAAACTAAAATTCATACCGAAGGAGGAAAAGGCAGCATCACCATTATGAGAACCAAAGGCTGACTAGATAAGTGTTCTTGTGAACTCTCTTTTTATGACCCTTTAATCTCCCTGTTAATTAAACCCGTATAACTGGAATAGAATCTGATGCAGTATCTATTTGTCGTCGCTCTTGGGATTCATAATACACATAAAAATTGTTTATGGTTCCAGTAGTATTCTAGGTGTCGAATAGTTGTCGTCGTCGTTTATACATGACCATATTTTTAGCCTAAAATGAACAGCGTGATGAACCACCTATATTTTGTTGTTTTGGAGAAGACGTAATGAAAACTTTTGGTAAGGAGTAGTTGTATGCTCACATGGTATGTGTAATGAAAGCATGAGCTTGTACGGTTGTGCCTAAGTCAATGAAAATGTGAATGTAATGGTCGTTAGCAGCAACAGCATTTATGTTTGTCTCTCATATTTTGCTAACACTCTTCTTTGCTTTGAATGATCGGATAGGACCACACCGTTCCTTGTGCACGTATTAATTTCTTTATTCTTATCATGAGGAAAATTTCAACGAAAAGGTAGCTTAATCTGCTGAGGGAAGAGGTGTTGGCCAATAGGTTCAACCACTTTTCCATTGCAATCTCAATAACTCAATCAACCAATCTTTTTTTTTGTGCTTATTTATCATCTCAAACACAAGCAAGACCCAATCAAAAGAAGAGAGTGGGAACGTATTAGGAAGTGCTATTGCTTTACACACACTATTTCATTCCTCAATGGAACTTGGGGTTTTTAAAAGAAAAATCAAAATATATCAAGAATTTCCAAGATGTAGCCATGGCAAGAGGGCAGTTCCCTCGCTGAACCATGAGCTCCCTTGAACAAAGGCGGCAGAACGTATGCGCTCATAGAATGAACGCCGATCCTTTATGCCTAACCATGTAAATGCAGCACGTATATTCCATCCCTCCCCTGGATGACACCGCCACATTGTCTTCATCTTCGTCTTCATCCTCGTTTTCCTCGTCTTCTCCCATTTCGTACCCTGTCTCCCCCAACAAGTCCATCAACGACATCTTCACCGGCTCCTCTCCTCCCGCTGCCGCCGCTTCTGCTGCTTCCTGTGCCGTCACCGCTTCCCTAGCGGATAATGACCTCTTCTCCACTGTTGCCTCTAAAGGTGATTCTGATCCATCCTGCTCCTCTCCTGAAGACACGTAGTGATCATCGTCTTCGTCTTCATCTTCGTTCTTGGAGGAAATTCGACCTGATGGATGACGTACCATCGTCAGTGGCTTCAACAATAATTTTTTTTGGATAAGTCAGTATTTTATTATCCAAATAGCAAAGTTGCCACAAAATACAATCAGGGTTCAGAAACAGAACAATACATACAAAAAAGAATCAATGATCAACTATACCCCAATGATTGCAAAGAGTAATATTCACACTATCTACTCTATTAAAAAATTCTACCCCTTAGTTGTAAACTAACTATTTCTTTGACAGCCTTTAATAAGTCACTAGCAAACCTCGAACGACCTTAGAACAATCATTTGTTCCGTTCCTCCCAGAGTAAGTAAACCAGTGCATTAAGGAGAAGCTTCATGACCGTTGTTAGCATTGATTTGTCCCTCCATGTTGAACAAGCCCTCGCCACAAATACATCCCAAGAAATGGCTGCAAACTGCAGACCAGAAAGAGCAAAAGTAGATTCCCACAGCAGGGCAACAGTAGGGCATTTTAAAAAGAGATGCTCTCTAGTTTCCAATTCAGCATTGCAAAATACACATAAATAATCATTAATAAGTCTTAATCGATGAAGCCTTTCCTTGGTAGGGAGTTTATCGAGAAAAGCCATCTAGATTATCAAACTATGTTTGGAAATATGGAGGGGGAACCATATTAATTTATGCCAAGGGACTTTAGGCATTTTCACCCGAATAGAATCTCATATAGAACTAGCTTTGATGATGCCTGAAGAAAAGAGATGGTGCACTTCTGGTCTCAATTTCAGAAGTTTTTTTAGACTCCAACTGGCAGAGGTATTAATTCCTACAGTCCATAAGTCTTTGCCCTTAAATACATAATTGCTGAGCCATGCAACCCAGAGGGAACCTTCGCCTGCGAGGATGTTTTTAATTAACCGGACCATGCAAGCTTTATTCCAAGATTTCATGTCTTTAATACAGAGACCTCCTTCAGATTTTAATAAACAAATGTTATTCCACCTCACTCTGGCTCCAGTTGATGCTTTGTCAGACCCTTTCCAGAAGAAACGAGAACATAGTTGGGAAGAAAGAGTTGTCTGCACCAAAAATTTGCAATAGAAGAAAGTATTGTTCTAATAAGCTCCAACCTGCCTGCATAGCTAAGGATTTTACTAGACCATTGATGCAACCTTGATTTAATATTATCGATGAGAGTCGCACAATCCTTTTCAGAAATTTTCCTTGTGAGCAAAGAATGCCTAAATATCTCACTGGAAGAGAGCCAAGTTTAAACCCAATGATTTGCTTTATGTTCTCAATAACAGCAGTGAGCATACCAACAACAAAGAATTCACTTTTTGAAGCATTTAGCTTGAGTCTTGACATTTTATAGAAAGAGTCCAAAACACTAGTCACCCCTACAACCGATTCAACAGAACCTTTACAAAAAATTAGGAGGTTATCGGCAAAGGACAAGTGGGTCAACCCAATTTTTTTACATTTCGGATGGAAGCTAAAAACACCTTTGGTAGCAGCCACATTGAGAAGCCTGGAGAGAATATCAGTTCAATGATAAATCTCAACCGTTTAACATTTGACACTTACACCCCTTGGTGCTCGATCTCGGAACCTCAATCAATAAAAATAATTCTTTGTTTGATTCGTGCAGAACGTTGAAATGTTAAAATCAAAGAATGGAACTAAAGTGACTATTCGTACAATACATTAAGAGCTAATTTTGTCTAAACTTAAACAATGATTAAAAGTGAATCATTATTACTTTAAGATCGAAGGATAACTTAATAAGGTTGGCGTGGCAGTTTACGGGGATTTACATTCGCAGAACAAGTCTCATTTCACAGACAGCCTTCAACGGTTCACCTGTAAAGCACAACTACAGATGATTATTTTGTTCACAATACGAGACAGATAACCAAACCAATCATATTTTCTCAGCTTTTCTTAATTAAAAATGTAATGAAATACTAAATAAGAAAAGATGGGACACGCACTGAAGAAGGACGTCCTTTGTCTCAACCAATGGTTTAGTTTTTCGTTTTCTGTCTGTCTGTCCGTATGCGTAGGATTTCTTTCTGGTGTTTTTGTTTTGAGGTTTGTATAAAGGGGAAAATGGAGGTTGGGGGAGATAAAAGAGAGGTTATGAAAATGGAGCCCGAGTCTTATGGGGGAAATTAGGGGAGGGGCCTTTTCTTTTCTAATTTCCCGGAAATTAAAAGGAAATTGTTAGTTTAATCTGTTTTTCATTCTATTTCTCCAACTGGTCTTGTTTAGTTTTTACAAAAAGTTTATTGTATTTACTTTGGTAAATTATACTACAACTCACTCTATTATTAGTAAGTTTACAATTGAGTCATCATATTTGAAAAAGTCACAGCTCGACTAATCGATTGCACCCTAAATGACGTTAACATTTTTGAGAAATTTACGTTTTGGTTACTCAACTTTTAGTTGTGAGTCAACAATTTTAGATTTTCTTTTCTAATCTCTTATATGTTGGTGCAAGAACAATTAATCGTTGACTTGAGTGTTCGTAATAGAAAAAAAAAAAGTTTTTCTTATCCTTTTATACCTCATGAATGGTGCAACCAAAAACCCAAATTCTTTTCGTAACTTCAAAGTCAATGGCTAGACATAATATAATAATTTACGTAAAAATAGTTTTCTTATTTTTACTACTTAATCAATGAAGTATAAAATGACGTTTTCCCTAAATATCACCTATACCCTATATTATTATCTATCAGACACATTTCAGACTATTTTTCTTGATCTAACACCCTTTGCAGTAAGGCGCGCTCCTGCAGCGCGCTTTACGCTGATCTGGCGCTGCGTGGGGTATAACGCGGGACAGGGGCTACGCTTCACCTTTAATGCTGACACGCGTCAAAAAGGTGTACCCTACGGTGCGCCTTAGATTTAATTACCCACTTACCCCAGCCGTTCACACCCCACCCCTCCCTATAAATACCCCCATTCTCAATCACTTTCATCACACCAAATTCTCTCAACTTCTCTTAAATACTCTTATATTCTATTTTAACTGTTTAAGGTATATTTTATTATATTTAATATTTTGTTTTTAATTTATTTAAGTATTTAAATGTTTTAATATTTTATTTATTTAAATTTTTTTGCAGATATAAAATGGAATAATGTTTATTTCGCTTGGATGTAAATCATATATCGCGACATTTTGCTGATACGATAACATTTTAACGTTTTAATATAATTTAAATTATTAGTAATAATTTATTTATTTATTTAATGCATGATTATTAGTTTAAAAATTAATTTTTGTAATTATTTAATTTTAGGAGAGGGACCATGTATTAGATCATTTTATTAGGAACATTAAGTTAGTGATACCTAGCTGTGTGTCTTGTCGTATTTAGTAGAGGTTAGATTTGGTCACATAGGTAGATATGAGAGTCACTGTAAGATAGAATCATACCTTATTTATGCCTTAATGGAGCGGTGGAGGCCGGAGACCCACACATTCCATCTTCCGTGCGGAGAGTGCACGATTACACTTGAGGATATTTCTATGCACATGGGACTTCCGGTGGATGGAGATGTGATATCAGGGATGACGCACGGTTCATGGACTGCTTTGTGTCGGGACTATCTAGGATGTGTCCCAGAAAGTTTTAACGGTAGTCAGATACCGTTAAATTGGTTATATGTCAATTTTCGACAGTTGAGCGAGGACGCCTCTGATGATGAAGTTAAAATGTATGCACGGGTATGCATACTGCAGCTAATAGGAGGGTTGCTGATGTCAAAGACTCCATTGCTACTTTGATCTCAGCTCCGCGATCTGAAATGACACATATTTTTTCCCTCGTCCCATTCGCCATGAAGTTTGACAATGGCATTTTGTTTTGCCAACCAAACTTTTTTATAGGAGACAGTGTACCCATACTGCGATTGTATAGCTGAAATCAACACAACAACAGCTATATGAGAGCTTGCTTTTACCATGAGAATGATGGCTTGGCATATCACTTCAGAGTCCAAGTTGGGATGATCTTGGTTGACCCCTCCAGCACAACATGCGTGAGGACTGTTGTATACTGTTAGTTCTCATATGTTATTTTTCCTCTTCCTCTTCGATACGCGAACCATCCAATTGCATCCGTTTTCGCGTTGGGCACAGTAACATACATATTTTTCTGTCGCGGAGCGGTCGACTCTCGATTGAATAAAATTACGAATATTGTAATTTTTTATAGCCATCATCCCTTCTTCTTTTCTTGAAAACTCCATGCCTAAAGATAACTCACCATTATTTATTGATGAGTAATATCCATAGTTACCGAGATGAGGCATATCCGCAAATTCTGGCCCGTACATTGCACCATAATCAGTTTCATACATGTGTGATGGAGGGTCAGTTTGTGCCACATTTAATGGAACTTCATCTACATTATCATCATCATCGGAGTTGAATTACGGTGATTCTGGGTGAATGAATAGCCCAGTCTCAGCACAAATCCACACCAGGCTCACGAAGTGGTTCTTCTGGTGGAGATGATGGTTCCTCCATGCTCTCCACATTTAGGTCAAAGAACCTACTACTTGCACGCCTTCCCCTTGAACTAGAAGGCATATCGATATTGAGATCGAAAAAGCTCGTAGTCGAATGCCTCTCCCTGGAGCTTGAAGCCATCGTGTCAAATGGAAACTGCACAGATTATTACGTCGATGGCATCTCCATATTAAGGTCAAAGAAATTTGCATATGAATGCATTCCCCTTGAACTGGACGCGATGTTTCCATATGGATTGTTCGTGGACCTACCTCGGTATATATCATAAGAAGTTGCGGATGAATGTCTCCCCATTGAAGTTGATGTGATGGCACCATGATGCGGATTTCCCATTATGGCGTTAAAATCATTACACATTACTATAGTCGGGCTGTCAACTTGATCAACTTGTTCAGCCAGCCCATAGTGGGAGCTTAATGACTGACCCCGAACAACACACACTTGAACAAACTTTGCATACATCTCAATATCGCCGTCTGTGTAACACCCTTAACCCATATCCGAC